GGATGCTGTGCTCATGTGTTTGGGTGTATTTTTAGTTTTATTCTGATCTCATTTACCCAGAGAATCTTTCACACATTTGCTGTGTCTTCAAACTTGCTTCTCACAAACTGCAAAGGGGTTTCTAGAGACTTTCTTGCAACAATGGCTTACTTCTTGTCAATACTCCGTACATTTCATAGCCGTAGAGTGCACAGCTAATTGCCTAGTCATTTTGTCAACATACTCTTCCTGAGCTGTGGATCATTACAGCTCCTTCAGGATCACCTTCTCTTGTCTGGTTTAGTGTAGGTCACAGCTTTAGATTTTATTTTGCTTTGAACTTCTCTATAATCTTATCAATTATCTTTATGTCTTACTCTTTATGATATATGTCCACTAATGTTGTTAATGGCGATTTAGGGAGATATTTGAAGGTAATTTTGAATCATACACTTTTTGAATATTGTAACTCAATTCAAAGTTGTAGAGTGAAATAAAATAGAGTTTTGAAGAGGCTTCTGCTTCCTAGCTCCAAAGGGGGGAATAGCCATTGTCCTGTTTTTGGTGCACTCTCTGCCAGGTGTCTTGCTCTGATTTCCCTGCTGCTCCTGTAGGAGCTTCACAATGCGGCCCTATTTCATGGGAAAGCGGCTGTTATCAAGCCACTCCTGGACATTCCGAACTGGGACCATCTCTGTAGGATCTGCTCGACGCAGGGATGCCAGTTTTGCTCAGGTTTCCTAATTAAATACACAACTTGACCTTGACCCCTGTGCAAAATGCTTTGCTGGCCAGGCGAATTGCCAAGTGAGCAAAATCACACAAAACTGGTGAGTTTTTTGCTGGTTTCACGTTTGGTGTGAACCAGTGGCGGCTGGTCAATAGAGGGCGCTAGGGCACAGCCACATCCACCCAAACACATTTATTAAAACATAAAAAAAAAAAACACAAATAAAAATTCAATTATAAATTTAAAGTATTTCTAAATATATTCATGACGAGTAAAGCTGATTTGTTCCACCCTGGGGTGCAAAAACCTTTGCCCATTGACTCTTGTTAAAAGTTGTACATGTGCATTAGATCCTCTGCAATACAGAAGGATAGGACAGCTTGGGGCGCAGGAGACCTGCACCCTGAGCTGACAGGAACTGTCATCCCAGTGTTAGTGTGGCTGATTGACAGGTCGAGTCGAGACAAGAGAAGCTGGAAGTGAAAGCGTTTGGGCCTGATCAGCCGCAATAAAAATTAAATTTCAGCAGTTCAAAAACAGATGGAGATGGTAAATTTGCTTTATTGTGCTTTCCCTGCCTTTCTACTTTCCCTTTTTCAAACGTCAGGATCTGACCCAGCATGGATCAAGACAGGTATGACTGATTTAAAGCAATTTTTTAGAAAAAGCAAAGAAGAATAAACAACCTGGGATTAACATTGAGAATAAATATTATATAGTGCACTTTTTCTAGATGTTTGCTAATTTGCATAGCTGCTCTTAAATTAACACATTCTCAGAAATATAAATCATGTTTTTTTTATATTAAAAAGATGCAAAGCTGACTTATAGATTCTCCAATATCAAACTGGTGCATTATTTTTTTAGGTTTATGACACCATATTGGACCATGCAAAACACAGATTTGTGTTTTTATAATGTGTGTTTCTATAATGTTTTTTTGTTGTTGGCATTCATATTAATATACTGGTGTGATAACTTAGTATAGGTTTGATTGGTTTTTAGTAAACGTCTATTTTGAATTTATAGCCCCCCCTGGAGAAAACTCTACCAGCCGCAACTGGTGTGAACTCACCATAAGTCACAAAGCTAGGGTAGTATATCTAGCAAAAAGACTTTAAAACATGTTAAAATATAATATTAATCAGTGGCCATATCCTTCAACCTTGTCTTTCGAAGGAAACATGGCAGTAGGCCAAATGAGTTGTTTCTCAATTCACAAGAACGTAATTATGGACTTGTGTTATACCCAAGAAAAACATAGCAAGTATGGACTTGGGGAAAACCGATGCACGCAGAAAAAATCTGTGTCAATTTGAACAGAGGTGTACGGGAGATCTCCACAAACTGCTTGTTTGGACCTGCATTTCACTTTCTGCTATTCATAGTCTCTAGATAATAGATTTTTTTTTTTTTTTATTTAGTGGGGGAATAATGATAAACACAAATCAAATTAAAGTTTTGCAGAGTCAGAGACTCCAGTAGATTTTATAGTCAAATTCCACATTCTACTTCGCTTCATTTCGAGAAAGCTGCTCTTTACTTGTTACTTTTGGCTCAGCTTAGCTTTTTAATCTGCTGTTGTTGTTTTTTTATTTTCTTGAAAAACAATTTCAGCATGTAAGATAGCAGTCCTTAGGCTTGAATTTAGACACCGCTTTTGCAGAAATTAGCACGACATTCCACAAATGTGAGTAACTCATTAGAAATATTATTTGTAGTCTATACATTTTAACGAGGCGTGAATTGATGACATGTGGCCAAGTTGTTTAATAGGATGAGTTCTCAGGTTGTAGTTTCACCATTCCATACTGAAGTACTTTTAAATGCATGTGCTTTTGACTGAGTACTCTAATACATTAACCTGAGTAGATCATTGCCTGAGTAACTTTTACTTGGAGTTGAATAATATTTGAATAATATTTGATTATGAGTATTAATACTTTTACTCAAGTCCTACTATTTTGTACATTCACCACTGCCCAAATAGACTATTCACGTTTGCAGAACACCTGCTTGCTTCTGATGATTTCCTTTAGCTAACCAATGAGTGTTTGCGTTATATGACTCATCCAATTACATTAATTTTCACTAGATGTGGATGGCGCCAATGATCTGCATTGGATGGCGCACAGGACGTAAAATAAACATTTATAAACATTAAACTGAAGCCAATAGTAACGAGTAACGTTTGTTTTAAAAATGTAAGGAATAGAAAGTACAGATAGTTGTGTGAAAATGTAATGAGTAGAAGTCAGAAGTAGGAAGAAAAATAAGTAATGGAGTAAATTATAGATACCTAAAAAGTTAACTAAAGTACTGTAAAAAAGTATTTGTACTTTGTTACTTGACACCTCTGCGTTTTTGTAATGCAAAACTTAGAAAAATATTCAATTAAAATACACAAATATTTAAAAATTACCCTCATAGAATGGAGGCTGTGTTATTTACTGGTGCTGCCAAAACAGAGCCGTAGCCAGAACATTTTTATAAGGGTGGCCA